TGAAAGTAGTATCTTGAAGAGATATTTATACACCCATGTTCACAGCAGCATTCATAATAGTCAAGTGATGGAAGTGACCCAAGTATCCAACCATGGATGAATGTTTAAGAAAATGTGCTATATAGACACAAGGGAGTCTTATTCAGCCTTAAAAAGTAAGGAGGGGCTGAGGGTGTAGCTCATTGGTAGAGTATTGCTTAGCAATATTCAAATCCTAGAACCCAAAAAGAAAAAGGTAGAGAATTCTGACATGGAATGAGTTAAATAAGCTAGTCATAATAGAACAAATATTATGTGATTCCACTTATATGAGATGCAAAGTAATTAAATTTATAGGGACAGAAAATAGAGTGATGGATGCCATCACTGGTGGGGAGGGAGACATGGGGGAGTTAGTGATTAATGGGTATTTTTTGGGGCAGTACTGGGATTTGAATTTAGGGCCTTGTGCTTGCTAGGCAGGTGCTCTACCACTTGGGCCATGCCTCCAACCCTAGTTTTTCAAGAGGAAAGTGTTCGGGAGATGGATGATGGTGATGACTGAACCACCCTGTGAATGGACTCACCTCTGCTGAACTGTACACTTAAAAATGGTGGTGCTGGTAAATTTTGTATGTATTTTACCACAATTAGAAAGATAAGTATGACTCAGACGCTCACCTTCCATGTCCAGATTCAATATGAATCCCAATGAAAGCATAATATGCATCCAAACAAACGCCAATTTGGTTGCTCCATGGAATCTACCACCACCTGGGGAGGCCATGCTGGTGAGCTTAACATGTTTCTGTCAGGGTCCTAGAATGAGGATTGGAGGTACAGCTCAAGTGGTAGAGGGCCTGGCTAGCAAGCATCAGGCCCTGAATTCCAACCCTAGAAGTACTAAAAAAAAAAAAAAAAAGAAAAAAGGCTCTAGAATGAGTAAGAAAAGAGATGGTCAGTGAGCATTACAAACAAACTGACAGGTGACTTAAAATCAGAATCATTAGGGCTGACAGAGTGGCTCAAGTGGTAGAATGCCTGCCTTGCAAGTGTGAGGCCCTGAGTTCAAGCCCCAGTGCTGCCAAAAAAAGTTTAAAAAACACCAGAATTATGTTACACTAGTTTCAGTTGCATGATAGATATATCTAGATTTTAGTAAAGCTTGATTATATCTTTGATCCATAAGATAAAGAACTATTGATCGTCCGATTGAGTTGTAATGGTGTAGTTGTTAAGAACATGGCCATTTAGGGCAGGTGTGGTGACACATGCCACAGATAAGAGGATCTTGATTCCAGGCCACCCTGGGCAAAAAGTTAGTGAGAGATGAATGCAAAAACAAACAAGCTTGGTGGTGCGTGCCTGTAATCCCAGCTACTAGGGAGGCAGAGATAGGAGGACTGAGGTCCAAGACGAACCTGGGCAAAAGTCTGGGACCCTACTTGAAAAACAAACTAAACACAAAAAGGGCTGGGAGCATGGCTCTTGTGGTGGAGCACTTGCCTAGCAAGCTCAAGGTCTTGAGTTCAAACCCCAATACTGTCAAAAAGGGAAAATTTGAGTACGGAATTTGGTTTCAAATTCTGAAGTTTCTACTGCTAGCTTTGTGATTTCAGACCAATTATTTAGTCACTTTGCTTTGGTTATCACACAATTGTGGTAAAAATAGCATTGCCCTCATGGGGTTATTATGAGTAAGTCTGATGACAATAATATTTAATAAATGATAAGTGTTTAGAACAGTGCCTGGCATGTGGACAATGACCTGAGGAATTACTGCTATTAGAATGTTGAGTGACTGTACACAAAGCTCACTGATAATGGCTGTAGTGACTCCTACAGACTTGGTCATATCCAGAAGTCCCACGTCTTTTCCCCACAACTGCTGCTTAGCTGTGTTTTCCCCAAAACAATACTTGTACTGTTCATTCTTAGAAGGCCATTGAAAAGTGCTATCTGTGTTTGTTTACACTAATAGTTTTTGAGATATCTGGAGTAGAAGCATGGGCTATACCACTGGCCCTGATCTGCTGAATAACTTTATCAGTGACTTGATAAAGATGCAGAATATTTTCTTATTAAACTTACAGAGGACAGTGTAACTAGATCAATGACAAATTTGTAACTGAATAAAAAAATCTTGCTAAACTAGAATGGTGAATCAAATCTAGGAACAGTACAGGCTTGTACAGTTCTGGGTGCTGGTGGCTCACATTTGCAAACCTAGTTACTTGGGAGGCTAAGATGGGAAGGATCAAGGTTTGATGCCAGCCCAGGTAAAAAGTTTGTGAGACCCCCATCTCACCGAAAAAAAGCTGGGTGTGGTGGTGCATGCCTGTCATCTCAGTGATGGTGGGAAGCATAAAATAGGAGCATTACAGTCCAGGCAGACATGGGCAAAAACAAGATTCCAAAATAACCAGAGCCAGAACTCATGGAGTAGCTCAGGTGATAGAGCACCTGCCTAGCAAGCATGAGGCCCAGAGTTCAAACCCCAGTGCTGCCTCCCCACCAGAAAAAAGAGTTGTACAAAATAACCAGAGACAAAAGGGCTGGAGGCATGGCTCAAGGGGTAGACCACCTGCCTAGCAAGCCTAAAACCCTGAGTTCAAACCCCAGTACCACCAAAAAAGCAAAAATAAAAACAATTTGTACTAGATTGACACTGATTTTGTTTCACGTTATTTACATTTTAAGAATCTTTTCATAAGAGTTGTACAGAACTCCATGATTATATTATCAACAATTGTTCGGCTGTGCTTTCCTGGTGTTGTGTCTCCTTCTCTAACTCTCCCTACGCTTTTATTTTTTTGCAGTGCTGGTGAGTGAACCCAGGGCCTCGTGCATGTTAAACATGTATTTTGCTACTGAGCCACACTCCTAGCAGTTCCCACTTCTTAACATTATTTATTCTGATGTTTCCCTGGCTGGAGTGTTTTCCCAAAAACTTTTTCAGAAAAGAAAAACTCCTGAAAAACTCCTGAGATGATTCATATTCGAAAATGCCGTTTCTTTGATTTAACAAAGCATGATTTGCACCTCTTTTCTTAGGTCTAAGTATTCCTCTATTGCTGGTGACATTTAGTGTTTCACACAAGAAGTCCTAGGTCACACTGTGTCTCTTCCTCACAGGTTACCATTCCTTTTTTTCGGAAGGTTTAATTTGCTCTTTTTCCCATGGGATTCAGAATGGCTCTCATTTCTCTTTTATTTTTATTTACTTGTATTTTTTTTGCGGTGCTGGGGATCAAACCTAGGTCCTCATAGATAAATGCCAGCAGATGGCTCTGTCACTGATCTATATACTCTCCTGGCCCTCTTTTTTTTTCTTTGAATTGCTTCATTGAGATAAATCTACCTATTTACAGCGTACCCTCCAGTGGTGCTTAGTATGTTCACAGAATTCCTCAAACGTAACCACTGCTAATTTTAGAAGATTTTCATCTCCCAAAAAGAAACCCCATACCCATTGTCTCCTCCTTCCCTACCTCCCACTAGCTAGGCAACACCAATCAGTCCACTTTCTTTCTTGTAGGTTTGCCTCTCCTGGAGGCCCTGGGCTACAATGAGGTTTTGAAATGGTTCCTATATCCTGCCAAAGCCACATCTCCACCCTTCTCCTCACAGTGACATAGGAGTCCTGCACTTGGGGGTGTGGAAAATCAGAGATGGGCCTATGGGAGCCAGGCCCTGGAAGTAGGCAGGGGGAGAAGGCATGGTCAGCACTGCTCCAGAGACAGCCCTGTGGCCTGGTTCAAGTTTCACTTCTGAGCTAGTGCCCTCTGTGACCCTCAGGAGAACGGCTTTCATTTTCAACATTTCATTCTTGCAAATGTCCTAGGAAGAGGCCATTTCAGCCAGGGTGCTTTTTTTCTCCAAGTGAAATTGATGTGTGTGGTTCTGATGGAATTCTCCTAGCTTCCAAGTCAGTGCTGGGTGGGGGTCTACTCCCTGGCGGAGAGGTTTCTTCTCCAACCTCTAAATTGTGCAGTTTTTACCCGTGCACCTACTGTCTCTGGCAGTCTCGATCAAGTGGAAAAGTCTCAAATGGGCATGCCTTGCTCTTCCTGAGGCTTGTTTTAAGGCCTTCTTGGTAAAATTAGTGAACTTCTTCTTTTCTTTTTCTTTCTTTCTTTCTTTTTTTTTTTTTTGGTAGTATTGGTGTTTGAGCTCTCAGCCTTCCCCAAGCCACATCCCCAGCCCTTTTTCCTTTAGTTTGTTTTTATATAGGGTTTCATGGTTTTGTCTGGGCCCACCTGGAACTGAGGTCCTCCTGCCTCTACTTCCCAAGTAGCTGGGATTACAGGTTTATGCCACCATACCCTTCATAATCACCTCCTTATGACCTGCCACACCATCCCTGCTCATTAGCTGGAAAACTGTTTGTCAATACCTAGATTTTTTGTTTTTTCTTGGTGCTGGGGATTGAACTCAGGGTTTTGTGCACTCTACTACTGAGCTGTACTCCCACTCCTAACATTTTTATTGTGGTATAAGTTGTTTTATATCTGGAGTTCCACTTTAGACATTTTAGTCTGAGATTGGGACCATTCTTATTTTACAGTATTAGATTGTCATTATTATTTTTTTGTGGTGCTTGGAATTGAACTCGGGGCTTCCTGCATGCTAGGCATGAACTGTACTACAGAGCTACATCCACAGCCCTGTAACCAGACATTCTTTACCATAGTTCTTTTTTTTCTTTTTTTTTTTTTAAAGTTCATTTTGCTGTGTCTCGGGGAACCAGGAATGATTATTCATTTTTGTAAATTCCCAGAACATACTGACAAGTATTGAACACTTGAAGTATTGAACACTTGAAGTATTGAACACTTTCTGTGTTTTAGTGCCTGTCATGTGAAAGATACAGAAGAACCTTTTTTAAGGGAATAAAATAAAATTCACGATACAATCACAAACATTGTGAATATGAGAAAATGACTGTCATAATGTCCTACCCCCTGTCTTTTTGGTTCCCCTCCCTCCTTCCTTTTCTCATGTTTGGGATCGATCTCAAGACATAGATGAGTGTGAAGTTTCTGGCCTATGCAAGCATGGAGGACGATGTGTCAACACGCACGGGACCTTTGAATGTTACTGTGTGGATGGATTCTTGCCAAGGAATGGGCCTGAACCTTTCCACCCTGGCAGAGATGCTACGTCATGTGTAGGTAGGTGTCTGCCAGTGAGTGTGGCATCACCAGGTGGGATTCTGTGGGTGTGACTTCCTCGTGCTGTGATGTTTATAGGTCTGTGTTAGGGATGTGAATGGAGATTGTCTTTATATAATACAAATAATGACCTAATGGAGATAGAAAGGACCATCTTAAAAAAGCTCAAATCAGCAAATTTCACAAATTAATACATTCAGCAGTTAATTGATATTTTGATTTTAACTACTATGTGAGGTTGTAAACATAACTGACCTAGTAAGAACCCAGCATCCCAAAAAGTGACCCTGAAAATTCTAACGGTACATTATCCTAAAATATTTTGCAATTCAGATTTTTTTAGTGAGGGTTGATTATTATTTTTATTCAGCTTGTGCATTATAGATGCTATTACCTTTGGAAGTTAAAAAGATTGAATAAATACAATCACTGGAAATGTGCTGTGAAATCAACCATGAAATAGGGCGTGGGGTAGTGTGAGGAGTGGGTAGAAGTGGGGAGAGATCGTGAATTTTGAAAGCTGACATTCGTGTAGTAATGAATTTGACGTGAACTTGTTCTCAGAAATAGACTGTGGCACTCCCCCGGAGGTCCCAGGTGGTCACATCACAGGAAAGTACACATCCAGACCAGGAAGCCAGGTTCACTATGCTTGCAAAGAAGGATTTTTCAGCATTCCAGAAGATACAGTCTCCAGCTGCACAGTCCTGGGCACATGGGAGTCCCCAAAATTATATTGCCAAGGTGAGTTTTCAAACGGTTCAGGCTCGCAGTGGGACCATCTTGAGATCACTTTCATATTTCTCTCTAAGTTTCACTTGGAACAGTAATTGCACTGAGTAAATCCCTTTTTGTTTCTAGTAGGTTTTCATGGTATTTTTAAATGTTATGTTTTTCTTTTTGGTGATACCAGAGTTTGAACTCACCCTGCTAGGCAGGCACTCTACCACTTGAGACACTCCGTCATCCCTATTTTGTGTGGGTTTTTTTTTTGAGATAAGGTCTCTAAAACTATTTGCCCTAGTTGACTTTGAATCGTGATCCTCCTGATCTCTGTCTCCTGAGTAGCTAGGATTATAGATGTGAGTCACCAGAGCCTGGCTTTGGTTTTTCTTTTGATTGGTCACTTGGCTAATGTTTTCAGAATGAAAACTTGAGTAGTAGTGTTGACTTTATTTTCTTATTCTTGACTTTCACGGAAGTGGCTTTGGTGTTTTGCCATTCATTTATGACCTTGGCTTTTTTTTTTTTTGGCAATACTAGAGTTTGAACTCTGGGCCTTGTGCTAGCTACACAGGCTCTCTACCACTTCAGCCACATCCCCAGTCCTAACCTTGGCCTTTTGATATTATGTGCATCCTTTTATGTGTGCTTACGTAGTACTTTTTTCTTTATTTTTTGTTAACATATTATTATTGTGCTGGGGGTACATTGTGACATTTATAAAATTTATTACAATATATCATAATTGAATTCACCCCCTCTGTTATTGTCCTTTATTCCCCACCCCCGATTCCTGGAATAGTTTCAGCAGGTCTCATTTTTCCATTTTCATACATGAGTACACAGTATTTCCATCATATTCACCCTCAGCACTTTGTTAAAAGTGTGTTCTAAGTACTTTATGTGTAACTGACTCATTCAGTCCTTACAATATCCCTGTGTAGATGCTGTTATCACACTGGGAGGTTGAAGTAATTTCTCATAGAAGTAATAATAATTACAACAAATAATAGCTCTGGTGATAGAGCTGATATTTGGACCCAGGAATTCTAGTTTTAGAGATTGGTTTTCAGTCATTCTGTTACACTGTTTTTGTGATGTTGGTTTTGGTATTTTTATACCTTTTCCACTTACTAGTTTCTAGCTGTCCATATAATCTCCAGGAAGCATTATCTGTTCTCATTACTAGGAGTTTTTTAAAAAACTAACTAGTTGGGGTCTGGTGGAGAGGCTCAAGTCATAGAGCACCTGCCTAACGGGTATGAGGTCCTGAGTTCAAACTCCAGGGCCACCAAAAAAAGAAAAAAAAATTAGTTACTTTTGTCATGTCTTTTAGGTATATATGAAGGTGATTACATATTTTTCTCCTTTTAAACAGTAATGAGGTGGGTTATCTTAATACATTTCCTGATAATGATGAGTAATAATTGCTAGGAGATGAATTTTGTGGAAACTTTGGCGTTTTATTTTTTTAATCTGGATTATATTTGCTAGATTTTACTTAAAATTTTCCCACTGATATTTATAAAGGGGAACAGTCTATTTTCTTTCTTTGTGCCATCTTTGTTGTATTTAGTATCAATGATATTCTGAATTTGAAAAATATGAAAGCATTTCTTTCTGTATTCTCTGGAATAGAATTTTATAAAAGATTCATAAAATTAAAAGATTTATATTAATAGAATTTTTAAAGATTTGGGAGATTTCACTTGGAAAACCTGTTGGATATGGCACTTCAGGAGGTGGCCCTGGGACTATTTTAAAAATTCTTCCTAGGCTGGGCATGGTGATACATCTCTGTAATCCCACCTACAGATAGGAAAGCAGAAATAGGATTAAGGTTGGAGTACAGCCCAGGCAAAAAGTTAACAACACCCTACAACACCCTACCTCAAACATGAGGTAAAAACAGAAGACTGGGGCATGGAGCAAGTGGTAGGGTCCTTTTCTAGCAAGCACGAGGCCCTGAGTTCAATCCCTGGTATTGAAATAAAAAAAAAACTTCCTATATTTATTGGTATGTTTAAATTTCTACTTCATTTTGGGATCAATTTTAGTAATTTTGCAATCCTAGAAAATCATCTGTTTCATCTGGATGTTCAGATTTATTTGTAGGCAACAGTGTAAAACACATTTGTAGTTGTGGTTATATTTGTTTGAAAGTGCTTATGGTAATGAAGTGTTAGAAGCAATCCCAAATGTTTATCAATAGGAGATTGACTAAATAAATCATGGCGTTTCCCTTAAATGCAATATTCTATACCCAATAAAAATTATTGGAAAAGATTCTTTAGGGGAGGGGTGGGATGGAAAAAAAAAGATTATTTATTGGCAAGTGCAAGTATTGATGGTTTGAGTAGTAATTGGTTTTAATTTTGACAAAGTTCCAATGTGCAGATATGCTTAGGAAGAAGTTTAGAGGACTTTTCATCAAACAGTTAATGGTGGTAATTTCCTGTGGCAGGCATCCTGGGTAATGTCCATGCTTTATGTGCCTCTGTACCGAAGGAAGTTTTTACATACTAGATAAAGTATTAAAGCCCTTCCATTTTGGAAAAACAAAACAAAAGAAAAAACCCAACTTTCATTGAGTTTATTGCATAGGTAAGAACCATTGATGTTTGTGGCCAACTTGTTCCTGCCAATGTTCTTATTTGCTGTTTAGGCTCTTAAAATACATTTTGATAATTCATTATCATCCTCAGAGTTAAGAACTTATGAAGGTACATTTTAGCTCTAAGATTACCCTACATTGGATCAACTAAAATGTAGAACTTAGATTAAAATTGCCATAGCAACAAAGGAAACAGTCAATAGAGTGAACAGACAACCTACAGAATGGAAAAAATATTTGCAACCTATTCACCAACAATATCCAGAACATATAAGGAACGCAAAAACTCAACAGCAGAAATTTTAAAAATTAAAAATAAAATCCAATTAAAAATGGGCAAGTGATCTGAATAGACCTTTCCCAAAAGAAGATATATAGATGGCAACAGATATGTGAAAAAATACTCAATATCATATCACCAGGGAAATGCAAATCAAAACCACAATCAGATAACTTAACCCAGTTAGAATGGCTGTTATCAGAAAGGCAGAACATGACAAATGCTGCTGGGGAGTAGGAAGACAGGGAAGTCTCCACGGGAATGTAAATTAGTGTAGCTATTATGGAAAACAGAAACTAAAACAGAGCTACTGTGTGATCTGGTCATCCCACTGCTGGGTATATATATATATATATATCCAAAGGACATGAAATCAGTTCATCAAAGAGATAGCTGTACTCCCATGTTTATTGCAGCACTGTTCACAATAAGTAGCCAATATATAAACATCAACAGATGTACAGATGAAGAAAAAGTGCTGTATACATACACAGTGGAATATTATTTAGCCACAGAAAGAATAAAATTCTGTTTTATTTGTTGTTGTTGTTTTGTTTTGTTTTTTGCAGTACTGGGACTTGAATTTAGGGCCTTCACCTTGAGCCACTCTACCAGCCCTTTTTTATGAAGGGTTTTTTCGAGATAGGGGTCTTATGAACTATTTGCCTGGGCTGGCTTTGAACCGCAATCCTCCTGATCTCTGCCTCTTGAGTACCTAGGATTACAGGCACGAGCTACTAGCACCTGGCTAAAGTCCTGCATGTTCTCACTTATATGTGACATCTGGAAAACTTGATTTCAAAGAAGTAGAAAATAGAATAGTGGTTACTAGAGGCTAGGAAGTGTTCTAGTGTTTGCAGTAAAATAGGGTGGCTACAGTTTGCAACAAATGTTAAAATATATTTTATGAAGAACCAGCAGAAAGGAATTCAAAGGTTTACAACACAAAGAAAGAACAAAGTTTAAGAAGATGGGATACTGATTACCTTGACTTGACCAGGACACATTAGATAGTTTCATTGTCACTCTGCACCACAGTAATAGATACAGTTATATGTTAATTAAAAATAAAGTGTAGCATGATGCATATCAAAGATCCCTCCAAGTATTTACACAGGGAACTCCCGTGTAATATGATTTATAACTTGAAAATTAGTACTTATGTGGACTGAGAATTCAGAAAGGTAAGTTAGAGGAGGGTACCTGTTACATTCCCGAAAGAACTGTTATTTAAACGATGTCTGCTTCTTTTTTCTTCCTGTAATAACTGTTCCCGCTGCATGCTGACACCTTTCTCCTCCTCCCCCGTGTCACCACATGGCCAAGGCTTTGTACTGCCTTGTCTGCTCCTCTCAGAGCACACATGCCCCTTTTGTTTTACCCACTAGTCTCCCCTGAGCTTCAGAATCTGGGCCATGTGCCAGCCAGCTCTGTATTTTTAGCTCAGTGTTACAAAGCCACAGGAATTGGGAATCCCATGAAATGCACTAGCAAACTGTGAACTTGGCTGTCGCTGAGAAGTGCAATGCTTGTGAAGGGGATAGCTATGTTGCGGACAGCAGCCTTTGGGTCCCATGGTGGGCTTCCCCCACTGGAGAAGGCACAGTTGGTGGATCGTGGTGTTTGTGCTTTCTTGATCATTGTGTTCCTGGAGGCTCTGCTGCCTTGGCAAGGGTGCCTGCATCACAGGCCCCCCATCCCACTGAGTTTCAGAGATGGTAGCTAGAAGTGAAGCCTGAAAGCTTCCCATGTTAGGGGTCCCTGTGGCCCTGCTTCCTATGTAGGTAGGGATGTATTGAAATGCCAGTCACACATTTTCATTAAATCTCTAGACAAGATAGAATCTCTCGCCTGCACTTGCTATTGTTATTATTTTTAATTTTCAGAAGAGCTGCAAAGTGACAGTAGCAGCTTAAAGAAATTAAATTTTTGAATTCCAACAAAGCCTGGAGCAAGGGGAGGGAATCACTTTAACTGTGTTGTCACTCATGAATCCAGAGTCCAGGCCTGACACTGCATATGGTAGATACTGGGACTGAGAAAGCCTAGCATCTGAGAGAAAAGACCCGTCTACCACCCTCCACTCTAGAAGGGTGAGATCCTGAGTTTTACGTGGGGAAAATGTATAAAAGACTAAGGTGTGTGTGGGACATTATGTGGAAGGAGTGGCCTTTGTGCTCTTCCTTTGAAGACACAGTAAATATCCAGAGCAGGACAATCATGACCAACCAACTACTT